TCACTGAAATCAAATCGCTCGTTGATCAAATCGCCGCCGCCGGATCGGTCGTAGACACAGAATATGTTATTCTATACATACTAAATGGGTTACCTCCATCCTACCAAGCCTTCAAGACAGCAATCCGAACAATGATCACTCCAATCAGTCTGGACAATCTCTACCCGTTGTTGCTAAGCAAGGAGGTAAATATCGCTCACGACTCGGCTCGACTGAATGCAACGGCATATCCAAACCTTGCTCTCTACTCGTCTCGAGGACGAGGCAAGAAACCACGAGGTAGATTTGTCAACAACGCTTCGCCCTCCACCCGCTCATCCTCGGACACGGGGACGACCTTGCAAATATGCCATAAGAAGGGGCACAATGCCGCAAACTGCTGGCACAGACTAAATATGCAGTATACTCCGAGCTCTGGAAACCGAGCATTAGCTGCTACACAAGATTCGCCCTCTACAAATTGGTTTCTTGATTCAGGGGCTTCGTCGCACCTCACCAATTCATTGGAAAACTTATCTCTTGCAAATCCATACAACGGATCTGAGAACGTAACGATTGGCGATGGCAGGTCTATCCTCATCGCACACTCTGGTTCAGGTTTGCTAAAAACAAAAGGCTGTAAGCTCAATCTTGATTAAATCTTACATATACCTGAACTAAAGTATAATCTACTGTCTATTTCTAAGCTAACAAAAGACAATAATATATCAATTCTATTTGATTCTAATGGATTTATTTTTAGGATATTCCGACACAGCGAGTTCTTCTTCAAGGACCATGCCATGACGGACTATACTTCATTAAGACACCACCGGCGGCCTTCAAGAACTCCGCTCTAACAGCTTCTTCTCAAGGCTTCCCATCTTGGCATGCTCGTTTGGGGCATCCACACAATAAAGTGCTTAGTATCATTTCTCAATGTAACAGACATTTACACATAGCTTCCACTATTAATTTTTGTGATGCTTGTACGTTAGCAAAAAGACATAAGTTTCCATTTGAGAAATCTGGTAACATATCACTTAGTCCGCTTCAAATTGTGCATTTTGACGTTTGGGGTCCATCTCCGGTGGACTCGATTCAAGGTTACAAATACTATATTCTGTTTGTTGACGATTTTAGTCGTTTCACCTGGATTTTTCCCATGCGACACAAGTCTGAGGTGCCATCCATATTAATTATTTTTAAAGTTTATGTTGAAAAACTTACATCGCATCCACTGAAATGCCTTCGCACTGATGGGGGATCCGAATACATGAATCACACGCTCAAGAACTTTCTCACTGCACACGGCATTCAACATCACATCTACTGTCCGTACACGCCAGAACAAAACGGTTTAGCAGAAAGGAAACATAGACATATTATTGAGACCACTAGATCTCTGCTGTTCCAAGCATCAGTGCCTCCCAAATTCTGGCCGGACGCTACCTTAATCGCAGTATATCTGATAAACCGTCTGCCCTCAGCTACTATTGACAACAAATCGCCTTTTGAACTACTCTTTAACAGACAGCCCCAATACAATCATCTTCGCATTTTTGGTTGTCCATGCTTTCCACTTACTCCAACTCCTCTCCGCAATAAACTTCAACCCAAGGCTAATTACTGTGTTTTTCTTGGTTATTCTGAATATTACAAAGGATACAAATGTTTACATATTCCTTCTAATAAAATCTTTATGTCTAGACATACAATTTTTGACGAACACACATTTCCGTTTTCTGATCAGCACAAGCCGCCATCTACGCCTATTCCCACGGCTCAGCCATCTACGTTCACCCTTCTGCCCACATCTCTGGCATCATCTAAGATCATATCTCACAGCAACATGCCTTCAACTAGGAATGACTCCATCCAGCCTCCAGCTGCACAGAATGTGCCAGCATCACTACACAACGTCCAGGAACCTATCATCAATTCGTCTCAAACTCCTTCTCAATCAACTACTAAAGCCAAAGCGTCGTGCCATCCTATAACTACACGCAGACAGACAGGCTCTCTCAAGCAAAGAGATCGTTTAAATCTTCTCCATCTCATTTCAAATGCTCAACAAAAAGCAGATCCTACATCGTATATAGAGGCCATTAAACACAGTCATTGGAGGCATGCTATGGCATCCAAATTTTTCGCATTACAAACACATGGAACCTGGACGCTAATTGAAAAACCAAATAACGCTTCCATTCTAGGATGCAAATGGACTTATCGTACCAAATATCATTCTGACGGATCCATAGCAAGATACAAAGCACGTCTGGTTGCTTTAGGCAATCATTAGGAGCATGGCATAGACTACAACGAGATGTTTAGCCCTGTCGCTAAACTACCCACGATACGTATCTTGCTTACAGTCGCCCTACATAATAACTGGCCAGTGCAACAATTAGATGTTGCAAATGCTTTCTTACACGGAAACTTGCAGGAAACGGTGTACATGGCGCAACCGAAAGGTTTCGAAGACTCCACACACCCACACTATGTTTGTAAACTAAACAAAGCCATCTACGGACTGAAGCAAGCACCGCGAAATTGGTATAATACTTTCACTTCTTATCTTATTTCGTTAGGTTTCAAGCACAGCAAATCAGACCCGTCGTTGCTTCTTTGTCAACAAAAGCAAGCCACTATCTACCTATTGGTTTACATAGACGACATCCTTCTTACCGGAGACAACCCCGCTGCCATAACTGAACTCCTGGACAAACTAAAACTCAAATTTGCAATGAAAAATATCGGTGAGGCTCATGCTTTCCTCGGCATACAGATCAACAAACAGAAATCTCAATATTTCTTGTCCCAAGAAACCTACGCCGTGTCTATACTTCAACAAGCAAATATGCTAAGCTGCAATGGTCTAGCAAATCCGACATGTACCAAATTACCGTCTGATTTCAGAGACAACTCGACTCTTTCCGATCCAAGTACCTATAGAAGCATAACTGGCGCACTCCAATACCTCACTTTGACTCGACCGGACATAGCTTTCAGCATCAACCATCTATCACAACACATGCATGATCCGGCTCCTCAGCATGCTCACCTGTTAAAAAGACTGTTGAGATACATCAAAGGTACGCTTAACTACGGACTACCAATTACAAAGAGTAACTTGGTTCTTCGTTCTTTTTTCGATGCCGACTGGGCCGGAGATCCAATCTCACGAAAATCTACATCTGGATTCTGTTCTTTTCTCGGCGACAATCTCATTTCGTGGACGGTGAAGAAGCAACATACGGTGGCTCGATCATCTACTGAGTCCGAATATAGATCCCTAGAAGCCCTCACGGCATATATTATTTGGCTTAAAAGAATTCTCACAGATTTCGGCATTTCATCCGATCAACCAACCGACCTATTCCGTGATAATACATCAACTATTGCTCCTGCAAATAACTCAGTTTTTCACGCAAGAACAAAGCATATTGAGATTGACCAACGATTTGTTCGAGATCAGATTACCAATCACAACATCCGTCTTCTTCCTATTAGCACGGTTGATCAAGTTGCCGACATTCTCACCAAATCTTTGTCTACACCAAGGTTTCAAGAGCTCCGAACCAAACTAACTGTAACTTCAAACTCCTTAGTTTGGGGGGGGGGGGTCATATGTGCAGGGTCGACTCACAAGCCTGCTCTATTAGAAGACAAAGAATAAATATACATTAGGCTGCACATAAATGGCACACTTGTAATAAACACATCACTAGTACCTAGCTAATAAGTCTATATATAGGATGTCTGTATATCTGACAAAGAGGTTGAAATAAAGTTTCTCATTACTTTACCTTATATCCTTCATCTTCTTCCCGGGTCTTTCCAAGAACATCGGTTCAGCTCAAGAACCGTAATCTCTTCATGCTCGAGCTAGACTCGATAATGAGCTTACGAGTCGAGTTTATAGAGTTTCGAGCTTAAGCTTAAGCAAATTTATGAGCTCGTTGGATAATCAAGCTGGAGTTCTATTGAAACATTGCTTGACTCGTTAACTTATTGAGTGGATCAAGAGCCAAAGGCGAAACCTCAAATGCAGAATGCGATAGGCAAAATTGTGGGCGCAAAAGCAGAAGCGGAAGGAGGAATCTCAAAAGAAGGAAGCATGGACGCGAAATCATGGAAGGTGGAACTTACGCCTCATGAGATGTCTTGTGAGCACGCATCCTTTCCACGATTCGAGCTTAAGCAGGCGAGCTTGAGTTAAGTATAACTCGAACTCGACTTGACATTTATAATATTAGATGTGTGTATAAACTTTTCTTACTTGGTAATGTACCTAAAATATATATATTTGCCCTCCGCGCAACGAAAATTTATTATATGAGGATGTCGAACGCGTCCAAAAACGAATGAGTAGGTGCCATATCACCTAATGCATAACACATTATATGACTTAATACCTCATTCATCTTCAGTCGCATTCAGCATGCGCACATAGTAATCTCTCCCACTCAACGGTCAAATTTCTCTCCATAGAATAATAACTGCAGCTTGGTGTTAGGTCGACGTCTCCATTCGCGATTTTTGACTTTATCAGGTTTATTTCACCGACTCCCTAAAATCTAGGCGGCGAGAGATTTAACTAGGGATTTTCCTGTTATTGACAAGCAAATCCCACTTTACGGGATTACGGAGAAATTTCTAGGGTTCGTGAGTGCTCAGCATAGGCATTATTCTGGAAACGAATATTTGTAGATTGTCAGGTGCCATTCGTGCTTCTTCACTCTGAGTACGGGGTATTTCTTCGCTCGCCATTTCTGCTCGGTTCTCTTTCTCGAAGCTTGATTGGTTTCCAGATTTAGGATAGATTTTTTTCTCGAATTGCTGAAAATAAGATTCTCAAAGCAGCGCCCGTGCAACTAGATTATTTGTTTTTATAAATTGATCTCTTGTGAGTTATAAGATCCTTTGGGCCGTGGTTTCAATTTTTTTTTTTTTTTTTTTGACTGCAAATTGTATGTTACTACGTTGCTCGTGAACGGTAGATGTAAGGTTTTGTTTACATGGATACGGAAACTGGAAGCTTTGCTAGGTGCGTGAAGCACCCATCTCAAATTTTCACAGGTTTCTGCTCAACCTGCTTGGTTGAGAGGTTGTCCAATGTTGCTGCGGTTGAAAGCACCAGGAACCCCTCTTGCGGTGTTAGAAATGAAATTTTTGAGATATCTGAGTCGGTTCCTGATTCAGAGAGGAAGAGTTGTGGTGTGAGGGTGCGGAAGACCTTGTTGTCTCTTTTTGAATTGGACGATCTTAAGGAATTGGAGAAGATGGGACATGCTTCAGCCAGTCACAAAGTGGGCTATGGTGATTCTTCGGAGATTGCTCAGCTTGAGGCCCTTTTTGAGCAAGAGAGAAAGGGTTTGGATGACAGAGCTCGAGCTTCTGGATTTGCTTGTTCGTCAAGCTCCACTAGTGTTGATGGTGAGAAATCTGAGCCCTTATGAGGTGAAAGTTTTAAGAATCGTAGAACATCTTTTTGGTTACACTCAAAGCTTCCAATGAAAGGATTGAAATGGCGGAGTATAAGCACTTCCAAGAAAGGCCAGATTCAGGAGAGTTGCTTGAGCACTGGAATTGAAAGCACTTATTTGGAGGACAACCCTAACCTTCAGACTTCTCGCAATCGGATGGATTCTCGTGATCCAAGCAAGGTTAATTTGGAAAAGCCTAGACATTCATGGGATGGTTCAATGATGAGCAAGGCATTGGCGTGCTCATTTTCTTGTCTTGAAGAACAACGAGACAGTTCAAGCAAGACTAAGGGAACTTTACCTGATGAAGCTGCAACTTCTGATCTTCAAAGATCTTCTGTAGCAACTGATCTTGGTAATGCTAATAGTGGGATTTTGGCTGATCATAACTCTTTACATACCGATGGCAATTTTGGAGATCTTCATGAAGGGTTGCAAGGTGAGCAATCCTGTCAAGATATTGCTGTTTCAGATGTTTGCAGAAAAAAGTCAAATCAGTGGAGCAGAGTGTGGGATTGGAGCATAACCAGCCCTTTTAGGGATTTTGCAAAGAGAAATGGTCATGTTTTGGAGAGATCCCTGTCAGAGTCCTGGCGGGACAACCGTAGGGATAACAATTCAAAAAATTTTCACCCAGGTATTGAAGTTCACCTTAATGGGACTCCTATGAGCGACGGTCGTGTACATCGCAGTTTGAATGGCGATATTTCTACTGCAAATGTTAATAGAAAGGGTCAGAAGCCTGACTTGCAGAAGATGAGAGAATTCAAGCTCAGTCGAAGCAATAGTGTTCGGTACTCCTCTCCTCGTAATCTTGACAATGGTCTTCTACGCTTTTATTTGACTCCTTTGAGAACCAGCAGAAGAAACACGGCCAAGTGCAGGAGGAGAACTTCACATTCTCTCGCCAGAGATTTCCTGGGGCCATGACTTGTGGATAAAGCTGAACGACAGTGACCATAGGTACAATCAATGCACGCTGCTTTACAAGGTCATTGACTTTTATTCATAAATTTGGTTTAGTGATCTGCTTCATTTTCTTTCTTTTATTGATTAGAGGAGAAATTTTCAGGTCAAGTTTATAGCCGCATTGACTGTTCCATCTCTTTTGGTCTGCTGGATTTGCAGAAACAGTTGTCTTCCGGGTGATTTCTTATACGAAGGCACTACATCTACATTAACTTTGATAAGTTCATAAGTAAGTCTGACATTTTTTTTCTTCCATTTTTAGTCCCATTTTATTGGACTTGGTCTATTATGTATTTCTCTTTGATAGTTTATCAGGAAAAAAGTAATTGCATGTAACGTTTTCCTTCCTATAAGGTTTTCACATCAGTAACTAGAATTTAGTTATCCTGGCTTTTATCATGCCAAAGATTACAAAATGAAATTCAAGATGGTTGCTTAGTCAATCTACCTTTTGCATTTGTTTTATAAATTGGCTTTTTTTACTTGGGGTCATTGTGGCTCCTGACTTTTACATTAGATTATTTGGAAAAACTTCCAAGTAACATACGTGAAAGACTATTTAAATAGTTTAAAAATTTGCATGCACTCGCACTTTTTAATTTGTAGTTAATAACATTATTTGCTACCCAACTAGTAATAAAGTACCATATTCTATGGGCGATTGAGATATCCTCTACACTTTTGCAAGTCATGAATACTCAAGTTCATAGAAGCACCACTTCGGTGTATGCATTTAAGCAAAAAGGACGCTTATACATCTCATTGTGCTTAGCACTTCAAAAGCATCATCATTATTGACAATCTATGTAGCTTCGTACTTCTAAATTAGATTATTTGGAGAAACTTCCCAATAACATTCGTGAAAGACTTGGTTAGAAAATAAGATAAGATTAGAGAGAGTCGCCTTAGATGGTTTGGTCACATAAAAGGGTGGCCTTCTGATGACCCGGTTTAGAAAGTAGATGCATTAGATTTGACTTATATTAAGAAAGGTAGAGGTAGACCTAAAAAGACTTGGTTAGAAAATATTAGAAATAGCCTTTCTTTATTAGATTTAGATGAGAATTTGACCCTTAACATATCACAATAGAGAAAAAAGATTCATGTAGCTGACTCTACATAGTGGGATGAAGGCTTGTTGTTGTCGTTGTTGTTGTTGTTCTCAAGTGGAGCTGTCAAGTGAACATGATCCTATGTTGGAGGAGGTTGGGCAACATATATGCACTGTTATTGATACGATATTGATTTTAAGATTTAGATGTATTTAAGATTAAGATATTCATATGATTCAAACTACTGATATGATATTACTGATGAAATCCAACTGCATAGGTAGATTTTATATGATATGTTGTTTTACTTATTGATACGATTCTCTTACTAATTTGATAATATAGAATGCAATGTTGTTTCATGAATGATTTTATGATTTTTTAGATTTACCATTTTAGTATATGTGCACTATTTATATGCTTTATGATTTTCATATTTAAAATTTTTGCATTGATTTATGATCATACTGAATGTTGTTGTTATGATTTGGATTATTACATGCATGTTGTTTTCTTTTCGTGCTTTGAGTGCAGTTGTAGGTTTTAGTTACCAACTGAGTGCTATAGCTCATTATGTGGATTTAATGATTTTCCAAACCCGGGCAATGATTTAGTGCTATGAGGTTGATCCGAGTCTAAATTTCTTAGGTTTTATTATTTTATGTATTTTTTTTCATTCTAGTGAGGAGTTGAAAGAAAGATAAATGTATTGAAGGATATCTTTACTCTTGTAAATTGAATTTCGAACGAATGAATATAGAAATATGTTTTGACGAAATTGATTTGTAATGACTTTAGCTGAAATTATAAAAATTAATGGATAATTAGTAGCTCCGATAATAACTAAGAAGATATAAAAGATACAATCCTTTTCATTTAGATCTTGGGGCGTCATATGATCTATGTCTGGCTTTTTAAGATAAGAATTATTCCTACTCCGTGGTTGCCTAATGCTCCATCCACATATAGAGTCCACACTTTATTCTCATCACTTGTCACCTCTTTCTCCACATCATAGCAATTAAAGTCCGCAAGGAAGTCGACGAGTGTTTGAACTTTGATGATCATTCACCGAGTGTGGTATGTTTGGAACTTGTTTAGCTCGACCACCCACTTGAACTACCTGCCAGAGTAGTTCGGTTTTGTGAGTATGTTCTTGATGCGATGATCATTGATGACTTAAATCGAAGGGGTCTAAAAGTAGGGTCGGAGTTGCTGAGTAGAGATTATAAATGACCACTCTATCTTTTCCGCAATTGGATATCTCAATTAAATGCCCATCAACATTATACTCACATAGTGGATAAGCTATTGTCTTCTCCCACCCTTTTTGTACTGCGCCGACAATTTTCTCTTTTCAATATGTTATGTACAAATATCTCGACATTCCCATTTGATACTTGAAGACTCGATCCATTATTTGTTGGCATGTCGTCCCTTTATCCTTCAAGTTAAACGACATTATTTTGTAACAGTATAAGCCTTCCCTAGTGATACATAATGCCTTCTTGCAGTCTTTGGGGTGTATCTTTATTTGGTGGTAGAAGAATAACGCATCAAGAAAGCTTATGACCCGAAATTTAATTACAGAGTAACCAGTGAGTTGATTGTTGGGAGGTGTTATCCATCATTTGGGCAATGCAGAGTTTAAGTCGGTGAAATCTACACACATTCTCTACTTCCAATTCGCACACTGCATCACTACTACATTAGAGATCCAGTTTAATTATTGTATCTCCCAAATGAATTCATTGCCTTGGAATTCTAGACTTCTTGCTTTATGGGCTTGGCCAAAATGGTTGTCATCTTTCTTATTTTCTATTTAATGGTCCTGACATCATTTTTTGACATTCAGCTTGTGACAGATGATGTCAAGGCCCAGCTTGGGCATCTTAGTTGTAGTCCAAGCAAAAATGTAGGCATACTCCTCCAGAGCTTGGACGGGATCATCACGATGATCCTCACTGAAAGATGAACTTACCTAAAGGGTTTGTTCCAGGGTTGCCTTCTACCATGAGAGCTTCTTTAACCATCTCAATGGTCTCCAACCTGCTGTGGAAGCAAGCAAAACAAGGAAACACAGGAACAAGAGCAATAGAACAGTAAGTAAACCTTTTGGTAGTATAATTTGTGTATGTAAAAAACTGAACTGCCAAGTCCATCTCCAGTCCCTATATGGGACGGTAAACTAGCTAAAAGAAGCCAATCAAATGGCTAACTGCCTAATGTACTATAGTACTATATTCGGTTATATAAGAAGTGGAGATAAAAGCATAAAGTGATGGATAGCAGGTCTTGGATATATTATTCCTGCATCATAAACAGAGAGTGTAAAGATGTTCCCACATCACAACCTTGATCCTCTTTCTACTTTAAGCTGCAATACCTTCTCTAGCAAACTCATCACTTTCCCTAAATCCTTCAAATAACAAGCTCGTGGCAAGATAAGTCGCCTTTAATTGTAATTTCTTGAGCTCTAACTGGGAATTTGACTACTACATGATATATCAAAATTGTTAGAGCAGACAACTTAAATACCTATTCTTGCTTCCAATCATATCTTTACACGTGTACTTATTATCTTACTTAAACTCTATATATACGAGTCATTGATGTAACGAAAGGAATCAATCAATATACAAAATACATTTCGCTATGTTCATTGCCTCTGTTCTTATCGTATTCAACTTCTTCATGGTATCAAGAGACTCAGAAGTTCTCTGAGGACCTTACGCATGGAAAATCAAGAAGCCATTTCTTCATCCAGTGGAATGTCTCTCGGCGCCAATAATGGTCCGACGATTCCGACGATCTCTCCTGAACTCAAGTTCGTTATCTCCAACCTAAAACTTCTTGTTCCCCATTTTCTCACCCCGGACAACTTCCCAATTTGGAGCACCCAAATCGCAAAACTCTTCAAAGCCAATGGCTTCTCGGCGTATCTCGATCCGACATCGGCAGCCGAAAATGCTCATCCAAATCAAGATTCCACAACTTGGCGAATCACGGATCAAAATCTTGCCACGGCAATGTGTTCCACTATATCGCCGGAAATCTTGCCATATGTGATTCATCTTGAATCAACAAATGAAATTTGGTCGACGCTGCAAGTCCGGTTCCAATCAACAAATTGGTCCAAGGTTATTCAGCTCAAGAACGAGCTACACAACGTTTCTATGCAAAATCTATCAATGACTCAGTATCTTACTGAGATCAAGAAGATAGTGGATCAAATCGCGTCGGCAGGCTCAAAGGTAGACTCCGAAGACGTGCTTATATACATCCTAAACGGGCTTCCTCCGTCATACCAGTCGTTCACTACAACCATTTGAACGATGCAAAATACGCTCACTCTAGATCAACTGTATGCTCTCCTTATCAACGAGGAAATACATCTGAAATCTGCTGCTCTAAAACTTCAAAAGCAATCACCGTATATTATCGCTCATGCTCATACCATGTTACGGGCAAGGCGATTCCCCTTGATTTGTAGTTGTACTCCTGAGAAAACATAGAGTCGACCTACAGTGGAGGTGAGATGAAAAACTAGTAGATTCATTATTTTTTTTAAATAGATTTAAAAATAATGTTAACAAAGTTAATTGTATCAATTAGAATGTTACCAATCTAATAATTGGCAATCATCACAGTGACCACCGCAACATCTTTGTAGGGGACTCATGGCATCCACTTAGTGAAGGTAACTAGAGCAACTTAACTACAGTAGCTCTGGGCACAATTTTTGAGTTAACTTCTCTCAATCGGAGTTGCTTAAGACTTGTTCATCAAGCGGACTCAACTCCATCTCCTGTCAATGTGGATAGCGTGAGTGAGAATTGGCTTGAACCCTTAGTTTTCTATAGGCGCTTTCTTTACTCACTGGTTTGGGCATGTTATGAAAAATTTCTC